GATAGAAGAAGGAAAAGGGGGAAGGGGTGAGGAGAAGTGGGCGAGGGAGCGAGGGAGCGAGGGGGGGGGGGACGGGGGGAGGAAGGTCACCTTCGTTCCATCCTACTTCATCTCCGTACTCAGAATCTTTTTCTTCGTCCGAGTCCGACAAAAATCCATCATCCAATGCTCCCGCATCCATGCTCTGCGATGAGGAGGAGCAAGGGGTCACGGCAGGAGCGGAGCAGAGCATACAAAGCAGGAGGGAGGAGAAGGAAGGAGATGGAAAGGAGAGGATGCTGGAGAGAGAGTTCGGGGTGGAGAAACGGCGAGGAGGGAAAATCAATCGGTTTTCATGCCTGCATTTCTCCCGCCAGCCTCTCCTCCTCCGCCTTCTTCTTCGCGTCCTGCTGCTTCTTCATCTCCTCCAGCCTGTGCGTCGTCAGCAGAGTGAAGGAGGAGGAAGAAACGCAAGTGCCTCTGCCTCTGCTCCCGTTCCTTCTGTCGCGCTAGCGCCTCCTGGAAGAAACTCGTCAGCGAAGAAGGGAGGAGGAGGCCAAAGGGACAAGAGTACAAGAGGAGAGGAAGGGGGAAGGGAGGACGAAGAGAAGAAGAGGAGGAGGAGAAGAGGAGCAGGACGAGAGGAGGGGAAGGAGGACAGGAGGGGGGAGGGAAAACAACTTCAAACCTCATCGTCTTCATCATGCTTCCTGTGGTGTGTAGCTGCCTGCTCTTTCTTCGGCTCTTCCTCCAACACGTTGTTTATAGCAGCTGTTGTGGTTGCTGTAGCTGCTGCTGCCGCCACCACCTTGCCCACTTTCACATTCTCCTTGGCCTCAGCCTCCTGCAGAATGTCATGTCGGAGGAGGGGAAAGAGGAAGAGAAGGAGCAGACGAAGGAGAGTGGGAAGGAGGTGGGGGAGGGGGAGGGAAAAGAGATTTAGCCTAGTCTACCTCCTCAGACAGCTCGCTTCCTTCCCCCTCCCCTAGCCCCCGCGTGTTTTCCTCGCCATCCTCGTCGGAGTCAAGTCCCAGGACCTTCAGTCGGGTCAGCGTTGGGGAGGGCAAGGGAAAGCTGAGGAAGAGAGCAAGAGACAAGGCGAGAGAGGAGAGATGGAGCGGAGGAGGAGAAGAGAGGGAGATAAGGAGAGGAGGAAAGAGGAGGGGGAAAGGAGCGGGGAGGACAGAGTCAGACCTGCACGTGCTGTTGCACTTCATCATCAGAGCTGAAGAAACTTTCATCAATCTTCCCTGTGCTGAAGGAGGCGACCTGAAAAAATCTCAGCGGCGCCACCAACACCAGAACGAGCAGGAGCAGGAGCAGGAGCAGCAGGAGCAGGAGCAGGAGCAGGAGCAGGAGCAGGAGCAGGAGCAGGAGCAGGAGCAGGAGCAGGAGCAGGAGCAGGAGCAGGAGCAGGATCATGTTCTCGCTTGCCTCTCTCCCCAGGTCGGGGGCGTTAGCGTCGATGCGAGGAGGGAGGATGAGCTTCTCAATGGGAACCTGATCAAGAATCAGCACCAGCCTCTTCTTACTTCCTTTCCCCCCTTTCCCAAACACCAGCCCCGTCTCCTCCACTTCTCTCCTCTGCCTCTGTCCGCCTCTTTCGTTCCGGACCCCCCCCCCCCCCCTGGCATCTTCGCGTTTCGGGAGTCCTGGTCTACGACTCATTGCACGGTGCAGGCCCTGCTTGGAGCTTTGTAATTTTGTTCGTGCTTGACAAGAGAGAAATACAGATCCGATCCTTGCTTGATGTACCTCCACGATCCTCCTGCCGCGGAGACCTTGACTCTCCTGAGTCTCGAGGGAAAACCCGATGCTTCGGATTCATGACGACGGCTCCTCGGTTGGAAGCACAAAGAGAAGTGATCGGGGGGCGAAGAGATTGACCATCGCATACAAGAGGGAGATAGTGCGACTCGCTTGCGCTCCGTCCAAGGCAGACTGAGTGACGGTGGAGAAGCTCGCGCTCACCTATGGCGTGGCGAGAGGGCGATCAGCAGAGCTGGCTCTACCAGCACTGAGTGAAGATGGA